GGCATGGGCCACGGTACATGGCTTCACTTAATGTCAAAATGTAAACAAATCTGAAGTCAAAGAAGTGACACGGAAGCTTGAGGAGATTCAGTGACCAAAGTGGCTTTAATTGCAGGTATCATCAACCTGCTTCTATGCCGATTAAACAGGGTGTAACTTCCCAGGAATGACTTCCAAAAACCCAGGCAAACACTGTTAGGTTTACCCACAGTGAATTCTGATACTCTTACTCGGTGAGAAAAAATTTTAAACCCTAAAATACTGCCAGGCATGGTGGCACATGCCTTTAATCCCAGACTTAGGGAGGCAGCCTCGTCTACATACTGAGTTCCAGGACAGCTAAAGCTACAGGGAGATCCTGTCTCAAAAAGAAAAAAGAAAAAAACCTCACTCTATGTACAATCTGGGGCAGTGGCCACAGTTGAAAGTGGTCTGGACACATGTATGAATTTCTACAATGGTCAGGTCACATGGTTTATGCAACTAAATACAGCAGAGTTACTACCCTGTATGGTCTCTTACAGGAACTATAAAACAAGCTCCTAGGTTCCACTTGGAAACCAGTGCAAAGGCTGTCACAAGTTTCCAACCCACACAAACATCGCCTGAACAATGGACTCCAAGCACTGCCCAAATCAAAGCTGGTCAAAGGTCTCTTCACCCAGGCTGACCTGCTCCTTCCCCAGCCTTGGGATCACAGGCACTTTCAACTTCTGACTCACCCAGGTCATGCTTTGAGTCATGAACATGTGAGGAAGGCAGTCTAATTTCAGGGTTAGCCTGAGCCGCATACAGGGCCGCGAAGACGGACCTCCATCTCACCTTTACCATATACTTCAGAGTTCTTGACTGACCCCAGAATCTCAGCATCCATGTGAAAGTAAACCCCAAGGTACTATGTGACACATTTTCTATGTTGTCTAGTGTCACATGGCCATTGCTGCGGCAGCATCTTTAGTCCACCCCCCCCTTCAACCCACACAAGGCAGCTAGGTGTCTAAGCAACGCAAGTGGCTATCTGTGACTGCCTGCTGCACACTGTGATCCGTTAGCTCAAGCCCATATTCAAATCAACATTCATGTTACTTCTTCTACAAGGTTAACAACAGAACTAAAATTATTATCTGTATGGAGTTCTGCATTTTTCTTTTAAACAGCACAAAAACGGGCAATGCTGTCAGCATACGCAAGATCCCTGCAAACTTAAGCAGACAAAAACCCCAGCACAGAACTGTAGAAATGAACGGCAGGCCTTAGAATTAGCCAAAGAATTATTGGCAGCTGATCACTGCTGGGTGAGGAAGAGCTGATCTTAAAGGGAGGGACTCTAGACAGGCTGACTAGATCCCAATGGATGAACTTGCACTGAGGGACATCTGAGGACACTAACATTACATGATAGGCCTTCACACAAATGAAAGTACGAACTCCAGTGGGGGGCTATGGGAGGGTGCCAAAGGGAAAGGGGGTGTAAAAATTATTTTCTGTATGAAATACACAAAAATTCAATAAAATTATTTTTTTAATTAACAAATTAAAGAGGAACCTAAAAAAAAAAAGCACAAAAATTAAAATAAGGTAGGCAGGATTGTGGTACACGCCTTTAATCCCAGCGCTCAGGAGGCAGAGGCAGGTAGAGCTCTGTGAGTTCCAGGCCAGCCTGGTCTACACAGTGAGTTCCAGGCCAGCTGGGGCTACAGGGTGGCCCTGTCTCAAAAGACACCCCCCTCCCCCCACAAAAAGAAAATAAAAAGATCTTTAGCCCAGTTGATTTGACAATTTCAACCACTTAAAATTTTGAAATGCCATTCAACATAAACCATGTTCTAGAGTTCTAATCTTCGCAGAATGACTTCCCACACCTCACTGCTGTCTGTGAAGTGTGACATTGTCCAAGTCATGAAAGCCTCAAGGGTCTTCAGAGGGACAAGCTATTAAGGAAGGCAGTTAGAAACATAGCCAGCTATAAGCTCACCTGGATTCTGCTGTAGTAAAATGCTGTTCAATGCAGCATCCCCACCTAGGTTTGCGCTCACATCAAACCAGATGAGAACACTTCAGGACAAGTCACTGGCTTTATCTCAGAGAGCCCTACAGTGTGCAATCAGCGAGCTCATTTCCCTAAAGAATGGGGGCCTGAACTAAACCTCTTCTCAATCTCACTGTGACTCATGTCCGGGCACTGGCAGCTCCACTCTAGGAATCCCCCGCTCCCGGGAAACCCGCTCCTAGCTCGACACGAGAGGTACAGTCCCCCACATCGGCCTGCTCCCAGGCCTGGTCACTGAAGTGCCGATACCATCTCTTCTACCTGTTATTTGGGGATATGGGGATATGCCACAGGTAATTGGGAAAATTAAGCGGTTTCTGTTGTCCTGCACTGTTCTGAGACAGGGTCTTGCCATGTAACCAGGAACGCACAATCCTGCCTTGGCCTCGTGCACAGTAGGATAACGAGCGTGTACCACAGGCTGTGTCTTTGGACTGCCCTTCCCACTACCCTGCAGCAGCTCAGATTGAAGAA